ATTCCTACCAGTCGGCTCTCCACATTCGTAAGCATGGCCGCCATGTTACTGTTAGCACATACTGAAGTACAAAAACTGTCATATTTGGAGACCTATGAGTTCCAGAACCTGTCCGATGTTCAGAATATCCCAGTTTCTTGTATTTGTCATTGATAACGGTTACTTTCTAACATCGCCTTAAAAGGACCGTCATTTCAGACCGTTGAGCAGAAGGCCGAGGAAAGGAAACGAGCCGTCCTTTGGACAAACCGCGAACGAGTTCTGGTACTCTGTTCACGTGGTGCCGATGCTCGCACGAGACATCTGATGAATGACATCAAGGTTAGCACCACTACTAGCATCCACCTTTTACTTCCACATAAAACGTCACTTATCACAGTTAAAATCGTAATGGTTCAGAAAAACATTCCGCGATAATTGCATGGGCGGAGACTCAAGTCATGATTGTTGTGCCTGGCTCATTCGCGCGCCCCTACTGTTCATACTAAATGGATGATGGTCACGTCGTATTTCAGGTGTTATTGCCTCATGCAAAGGGAGATTCTAAACTCGATAAGCAGAAATCTTTGGTGGTCATCAATGAGATCGCCGAAATGAAGAACTGCACAAAAGTTTTATATTTTGAAAGTAGAAAACATAAGGTAAGCTGTTTCTTTTTTATCCTGATAAGGTATTCTTGAAGCTCTAGACTACTATCTTCTCAGGATATTTATCTATGGATGAGCAATGTTGATGATGGTCCTTCGGTAAAGTTTCTTGTGCATAATATGCATACAATGATGGAAATGAAGTTGTCCGGTAACTGTCTAAAGGTAGCCTTGACACGGAGTTCTCTGATGTTCTGGTTTTTTCTTAATATCATTTTTAGGCATCTCGCCCGATTCTTTCATTCGATAGTAAATTCGATGAGGAACCACATTTGACGCTCATAAAGCACGCCCTAATGCAGGTATGAGCTAGGCTTGGCTTCTATGATTTGGAAGAGGTCTGTGTTCAGTTCTGCTTGGTAGGGACATTTTGCTGCATCTCGTCGACCACTGTCGATGTCTCCTATGGACACCTGTTAGTACCTGTAAACAGGGTACATCGTGGGGAGGGGCGGTGTTTGGTCGCTGAAGGAAGGGAGATCGTAGTTGGTCTGAGAAAGCTTTTTCGATAGTTGTTTTTGTTTCACGGGCGCTATACACATCGTTGGGAGAATTCTAGGGGTGGAGGCGTAGTTGCTTGTTGTTGATATGAGGAGAAGGTGGGGGAGGGGGACAGAGAGAGAGTTTATTTGCCTGTGCTGTGTTGAGTTTTGAAAGAAAATTGCTGTGTATAGAAAGTTTAGACTGGTTTTTGTTTGATAAGCTGCTGTTTCGCCGCAGTGCGCGATGCGAAAGTTATCACAAGAATGCTGAGTTGTGGGCAAAAGTCGGACCACGGGCGGGACTCGAACCCGCATCTTCTGCTTACCGGGCAGTTGCGTTACCACTTACGCTACCGGGGCCACTTTTGACCTCTCAGCTCAATGGCTATTTGTGCCATTGCCTTCGAGCACTCACACGTTCAACGTGATGAGCCGGTTAGCCGATATCGGCAGTGAACCGCAAGGCTGAAGGCTTTTTACAAGTTTTAAGCTGTTATTTGTTTGATAACTGCTGTTTAACGCCGCAGTGCGCGATACGAAAGTTATCACAAGAATGCTGAGTTGTGGGCAAAAGTCGGACCACGGGCGGGACTCGAACCCGCATCTTCTGCTTACCGGGCAGTTGCGTTACCACTTACGCTACCGGGGCCACTTTTGACCTCTCAGCTCAATGGCTATTTGTGCCATTGCCTTCGAGCACTCACACGTTCAACGTGATGAGCCGGTTAGCCGATATCGGCAGTGAACCGCAAGGCTGAAGGCTTTTTACAAGTTTTAAGCTGTTTTTTGTTTGATAACTGCTGTTTTACGCCGCAGTGCGCGATACGAAAGTTATCACAAGAATGCTGAGTTGTGGGCAAAAGTCGGACCACGGGCGGGACTCGAACCCGCATCTTCTGCTTACCGGGCAGTTGCGTTACCACTTACGCTATTTGACCTCTCAGCTCAAAAGATGGCTGATTTGTGCCATTGCCTTTCCACAGTCACTGTGGGTCACACGGTTCAACGTGATGAGGCCGGTTAAGCCGAATATCGCAGTGATATGGCCCCGGGTAGCGTAAGTGGTAACGCAACTGCCCGGTAAGCAGAAGATGCGGGTTCGAGTCCCGCCCGTGGTCCGACTTTTGCCCACAACTCAGCATTCTTGTGATAACTGTGTATGAGAAGTTTTCTTCTGCCTAATGACTTTTCTTTGCCTTTTCACACACCTGTTCCATACTCCTTTGGGGACTTTTCAGCACTATTGTAGCCTACTGTTTTCAATAGTTGAAAGTAGTATGTTAGTGACGAGTCCCTCCCAACCCGCTCGACGGCTTCAGAGGAAAAACCGGAAAGTTTTTGGGAATTTCCGTAAAAACTAATAGGAAGGTGGGGGAATTTAGAAAGGTGGATGAGAAAGGGATCATTTTACGGGAGCGGGTGAGGGGGTCGTATTCTCCGAAAATTCTCCCGGCGGCAGGAGGTGCCCTGCCTGTAAATCTGTACAATGGCACGAGCTTCGCTTGCAGCTGAGAAGAATCTACAGGTCTCCAGAGCATAACGTGTTAATACTGACCAGTATGACACAAAAGTGCAAATGCCCCTCCCAAGCCAGACCAAACAGTGCCGAGATTTACTTGCTTGATGCTTCAGTAGTGCGCTGCTGAAATTCCTTGAATTTGTTGAATACTTATTATTATACAATGTTGAACTATAGTACGGAATGTCAGTGTAACAATGGACTGGCCGCATTCTTATTCCTTATTACATTTTTCACGTTAGTTGGTATCTAAGGTTGAGCTCGATGCATTTTCAATCGTCCTCATTCTTTATTCCACTGTGTCGGAAGTATAAATTATGCGCGATTCGCTCTCCGCGTCGTTCGCTTGCAGCATCGATTTCCTCTTGTATGCTTACGGATACGTTCCTTCGAACAATCTAGCAACGAAGGGGAAGGGGGGGGGGGGGGCAAAAGTGGGAGTGGATCAAGATTGATCACTTGAAAAAGGCTAGTCAGCGTAACTGGATTAATTCTGGACCTTGAAAATGAGCCTAGCGATTAGGTACTTTCCAATGGTAGCGCAATCTACAGCTTCTGCTTTTTCTCATCTTTCCGTACTTCTGGACAAATGTGCGCAGTGTTTATTCGATTTTTCCCTTCTATCACCCTTTTATTTCACGAACCTTAGCCCGCCTATCCACTTGACCATCGCTGGGAAATAGCGTTGGCTGCGATGACCTTTTACATCCGACCTCCTTTTCAAAATGATTTTCACACCTTTACAGCAGACTGTTCTCTATCTCGCAGTTTGTTGTACTTGTTGAATCGAAGACTTATGGTTTTCTCTGTCACAGTTGAAATTTTCATATTTTTATGCCTCTATTCTGTTCTTCCGCTGCTATGCTGTCTTTTTCTATTGTAGTGATTACTTCAATTTTGAATAGTTTCCTAGTTTTTCAGTTTTCAGACGTTTGGCACACCTAATCATCATCCGCGCAGTCAGCCATTCTTCGATCATGTATTCTCCTTCTCCGGTAACTCCAGATCTGAAAATTTGGTTCAGAAATTTCCAAATAGTTGACGAAACTCTGCAATTGCAGGAGATTGGTGAGCAGTTTTCTCTACTCAACTTGGTATGGTATTTTACTGAGGTTACTGAGGCTATGAAAACTTTTATTTAATTTTTATTTTTATTTTATTTAATACTTACTTTAATAT